GAACCCAGAGCTCCTGTTCTTATTTTTTTTATGTTTATTTTGGTTGGGAAATTTTCACATAAAAATTATGCCATGTCATGATCTCACATCATCAAAAAATCATCCACATTAGATAAATAATATCATATAACGCCTAAATAAGCCCCATCATCAAGAAAAGGCATCCACATTGGATTACTAACGGCACAGAGTGGCCACGTCAATTTTTGGGTGCCACGTAGTGCATTTTGTAATGGTACTGTGACGGCACGATAAAATGTTGGGTTTTTTACGGGTTTTGAAAATTTGAGGGTGTGAATAAGAAGGAAAAATTCTAAAAGGTGTTGACCGCGAAAAAAAAATAAATTGAGGGTGCAAATAGGGGCTTTGGCCTTATATATTTGTAGAGTGAATTCATTAGTCTTCAGAAATGGTGAGAACTTTCTCATGAGTTTCTTATCCAAAACTTTTGTTTATGCAGTAGTAATTATATATATATATAAATGCAGTTCACAAGATTGAAAAATACATTTTTACTCCCCTTTCCCTTGATTTATTATTTAACTAATCTTTGTTTTAATGTATTTTAAGGAAGAGGAAAAAAGAATATTCAGTGAAGAATTGGAGAAGCTTGGGAAAGTTATAGAGGTACTTCCAACCATCTTTTCTTTTTTGATTGTATTTAATACATTAATCACATTACTCTTTATCTGACTCTTTCCAACTCCTCCTCTTAAATTCCACTTCCAGGAAGATTTAGCAAACCAGTACTTTGACGAGGTTGGGAATATTTTGCTGCATCATATTTTAATAATGTTGATATTATTCTATTTCTGAAATTTCTGTTTTAATTTTTTCTTAACCTGCAGGAAATTCAAATGCTGATTTTTCCAAAGGTATAGAAAGCTTGCTGCTTTATCTTTTGATGGTGTTGTAATTAGTATATACCATGGGATTATCATTTTAACTTAATTTTAATTTTAATTTACTAACTTGCAGGACCTGTCGGTAACTTCAGATAAGGTATATATAGATTTTATGTTGCATTTATACTTTTAACATTTCTAATTATAGAACTACTAGTGTGGGCAACTGCTCTATGTTTTGTTATGGGCGCAGTTTTCTTGTATGTTATTTTGAGAATCTTCTATAGGTTCTACCGTTTAGGATCTATTTATTTGTGTTGTAATAATGGATGTGTTTATTTTTCTCCAGTATAATAGTTTATTTGTGGTAAAAAAATGATTTCATATTAATGATTGAATCTATATTGTTTTGAATGATTGATGTTTACTTGAATTATATTCCTAAAAAGTCCTCATATATTCTGTTTTAATTGTAAATGCAGTTTCAACTCAAAGATAACGAGGCCTTTTGTGGGGAGTCTGGAATTACTGACATGTTCAAAGACTCTGAGGAAAAGGGAGAACAGGAGTTCAAAGAACAATTAAATAAGCTTGAGGAAGATTTGAAGGTGCGATTTTCTGTGCCTTACTTCCTTCCAAGTTCCAACCATACACCTTTTCTTTTTGGGTTTTAATATAATATATTATTACATAAGCCACACATTATGTGCATGCTTTCAAAAGTTCTAGACTATTGCGTGTTTTCCTTCTACATCTCTCTATTAAATTTCAGAAGGATGGAACATTGGAATTCTTGTCCTTGGAAGACCCTCAACCTGAAATGTTGGCAGGAAATGATTTGGTGAGGCAGGAATACTGCAACGAGTACGGACTGCAGGTGCCTGTAATTGGAGGTATTGTGTTATTTTACTAGGGAGTTTGCTGTAAATTAATTAATTTTTGTGAAAATTGGCACTTGGGCTTAAACACAAGTTTTGCATCCAACTTAATACCAATTGGCAATAGATAGAGTAACTCTTCTTATATTTAACCCATATACTTCTTTATTATATTCTCAATGTTTTTTAATGAATATCTGGAGTTAGTAACTTGGTATTACATATGACCCTTTTGTCTCTCCTGCAGGGCCTCATCATGACCCTGCTGGCATGCAAGGAGGAACCACTGCTGCTGGTGGATCCTCTGGTGGTCCTGCCATCCAATGAAAAGTTTAACTTCACCTTGATCCCACTTTAATGTAGTTTCTTATGGGACATGTTACATGGATGATGGAGGTTTTATGTTTATCTTGTCTTATAGTAGCCATGGATTATGTTGGTGCAGCAATCATCTAGAATGATATGAACCTAATTACATGAACACTAATTAGATGGTTGTGTTGAATGGGATATTTGCAATGGATGTTAATTGTATAAACTGCATGTTATTTAGAGTGTTTTTTAGAGGTTTCCCTTTCTCTTGATTCCACATTTATGTTGCTTCTTATGGAACATGTCACATGGATGATGCACGTTTTATGTTTCATGGTGCGGCTTGTCGTAGCTATGGATTAACAATGTTGGTACAGCTATTATTTAGAATGATATTAACTTAATTACATGAACACTAATTAGGTGGTTGTGTCAAATTGTATGTTTGAACTTGATGTTAATAATATAAACTACAAGTTATCACACGTCGTAATGCATGGATGGTTAATATTAATGTTTTTTAGAGTATTGTTACTAATAATCCATTCTAATGTAATACAGTCTAGAAATTTGAACTTATTCTCCTAAGAAACCCACAAGCACAAAAAGAAGCTCCCAATCACATTTTAATAGAAAGTTTTGGCGAAAGGAGTCACAAAGGACATGTAGACTTCTCAAGTAATTCAAAAAATGTCTTCGCTTCATCATCCATTCTCAAAGCCATTAAATTTCCCCTCATACCAGGAAAGCAAAATGTCAGATTATTTTGATTAGTCAATTTGAATTCCTGACGGTAGAATACTGCAAAGAAACTGTGCCATGTGATCCGTTTCTCATCACCATTTATGAAGATAAAGTCAATAAAATAACTGTCATCATGATTGGAGAGTAAAACAATTACATAATATGAAGAGTCAGGTGAAGATGCAATAACAAACCTCTTCATATTTAACTAGTGCCAAGTTTGAAAGCAGAATGGTTTTCTTAACAAAAGGATTCCAAATGATTATGGAATCTTCACTTTTTTAGCATCACGCACCAAACTCCCCTTGAATAACACATTGTGACGTCTTTCAATTCATTATTAGGGATGCTCAGAAAATACTTTTCACCATGTAGCAGATTAATGAAATTGCAAATGGTATCACCTTTTTGCCAATAGGTTAACCAAGAGTGGAGAGCCTTTAGAGCACTCCAAAGCTGGACTTGAAGGAGCTGCCAATTTACACAATTTGTTGGTAGCCCAAAAACTCAGATAGCCACCTAACATTAGGCACCTTCCAATTCGATTTAGCTAGTGTGTTAAGAGGAAGCTTATCAAAACCTCCTATCTCCTCCTCACCCGCTGCGTCTTTCGTCACAATTTCACGACTTTGAGGTTTTATATCATTGCTCTCATCATCTAACTCATATCTGGTTTGATTTTGGACATCTGTCTCATCATCACCCAAAAAGAAGAATGCCATGATCCTAGTGGACTTGGACAAGGCAAAGAAAGTAAAAAACTGAGAGAGTCTGGTCTTCCATGTTGAATGAGTGAAGTCTTTTATACATCGGTAATATGAAATACACATGATTTCCTTGAATCCCCGATCCAATCCAATCCAATTGCTGCTTGGCAAGAAAATGAAGATACTACCCCCAAAAAGAACACTCTTTACCTTGTTCCATTCCTTCTTCCAGAAATCCAGTAAAAAAAGTTCCACATCAATGACAGCAACCAACAAAATTCGAAGATATTTACCACGGGAAAATGATTGAGAGAACCAAAGAGTTAAAAAATATATAAAATCATTATTTCTTCTAACTTAGAGAAAGTAAGAACACACTTACTTTTATAATATTAAGAAGATAAAATTTTACTTTATAAATTAATTTACAATTTAGATTACTTGATTATATTAAATTTAAGAAAAAAGAGAAAGATTGAATTAAATTAAATTCTAAAAATTAGGAAAACAAAAATTGTTGTATTGGATTGCACAAAAAAATTGTTGGATAGGGAATGTGACCTCCAATATTTATGTTTTGTAATATGAACTGTAAACTAATTTTTTTATAAAAGTGTTTTTCAATACAAATTGTATTTTTTTATACAATTTAAATACTAAAATAATCAAAATACTATTAATAAAAATATTCTTCGTATCTATTCATTAATGTATTTTTATAATTTTAATGCCCAAACTATAAAAAAAAGTATGGTGCTTACTAAAAAAACACCCTCAACTGAAATTGACATGATTGCTACCCTTTTAAGTCTTGCGCACATATGGGGGCTGATTTGCTACTAATTCAAGAATACAGGGGCTGGTTTATCCTTTTGCCTTTATATAAGGCACTTTCATTACTTTTCTCTTCTTTTTTTTTGTCATTGTTCAGATAAAAATTAGTAAATGATACGGAAGGAAGGAGGGGAGAAGTGAAAGTGAGGAAATGATTAGTATTAATTTTATTCGATGGATAACAGTAAAGAGAAAGAAAAGATTACATTTTTATATAATTAATTAATGAAAAACATAAAATAAAAGAAAATATTTAAAATCCATTAGTTAAAAAAATTGATATAAAACAAATTTTTATATTTATTTTTAAAAAAATTGAAAAAATTAAATGTATAAAATCAATCCATAATTTTAGAGAGATTGAAAACAAAAGGGGAGCGGTTGATCTCCCTTCCCTTGATTAAAATCAGTAACCCAAACGCGAGAAGGAGCATCTCCCCTTTTTCTCCTTCCTCTCCCCTCCAACTTCCCCAATCCAAACAAAGAAAGGCTTAGAGCAAAAGAAAACCGAGCAAATAGGATACGGGCTGAGCAACGAGAACGAGGAAAGGCGGTTGTTATCCGAGAGCGGAGAATTTGTGGCGGAGAAGAGAGCAGTGAAGCTCCTGGATTTCTCCGGCAAACACGTGCCTTACAAGAAACGGCAGAGATTCTCGCCGGAGATGGCGGCAGAGGAGTCCGATTTGTTCGATTCTTTGCCGGATGATCTAGTTATTTCTATTCTCTCCAAGCTCAGCTCCTCCGCTGGTTGTCCTTCAGATTTCGTCAACATTTTGATGACGTACGTCACCGATTCACTGTATACGATTTTTAATTGCTGTTTTGGGTATGTTTTAGAATAAATTTTGAATCTGATTTTTAAAATTTTTGTAACAGATGCAAGAAATTAAATGGTTTGGCGCTTCATCCTCTTGTGTTATCCAAAGGCTCCTCGAAAATGTTCACCATTAAAGCAAAGAATTGGTCAGAGTCTGCTCGCCGGTTTTTGAAGCTTTGCGTTGATGCCGGAAATGCTGAAGCTTATTACGCTCTTCTCTCCCTGGTGAGTTATTATATTTTTGTTACCCTAAACGGATTTTTTTTATCTCTCTGAATCTCATCAGTAACTCTTATAGGAAATGGGAATGCATTTTAAATGTGGGGAGATTGTGGAAATTGATAAGGGCAATAAAATAGTAAATGCTCTATTATTTGATGAATTTGGTCTGTTGGAGAAAGGCATGTTTTGTGATGCTAGTTTGGCCAACATTTTTCTATCCCAGGCTTAATTAAACTTGCTGCTGCAATAAAATCAAACACATGTTGAATATTCACCATTGGCAGTAACCCTCCTGGTAGTTCCTTATTTTCTGTCCCTTTAAACTCTTCTAATAGCTGCAGAGCTTTAGGGGGGTGCATAGATATTTTTCTCATTTGTTTTTCTTCAAACACCTTATTTGTATAAGCATAGATGCTTCCTATTCTACTTTTCCTTTCAAACTTTGCTGCTTCAAAGTTTTTACGAGATAAATTTCTAACTACCATTCTGTCAATAGAGATTTATTTTTTTTTTCTTGATCATCTCCACTTAAAGAATGCAAGATGTTATGACTCAAATCTTGTCCTTCTTCCTTAGTTATTGCCATCATTTCTTGAATCATTAAAGGTTCTCCTTGAATTGAAAGAATGTCCACTTCTTCAATTTTATCACAACAAACATCGTAAACTGGTTCTTACATGTCACCTTCTTCCTCTTCAATTCCTCTTCAAACTTGTTTACTTTCTCCCCAAGTTACGGACAAGCAAAAGAGTAGTGCCCCCTTCCCTCCACAACTAAAACATTGAATTCCTAAATTGCCTGTTTGAGTAATGGAATGATGTTACATTCTCTCCTATTGGAGTATGCTCCTCCATTGCCATTCTATTCTGTTTTTGGGTCTGAATTTTTTTATACAATTCCATTGCATAACCAGCTGGCAAAAACTGTTTCCATATCTTTGCTTTCGTGTACTTCCAATTGCTGATGTTTGGCTTGCCTTGTCCAGAATGCTGTTTTTCATCTCTCTTCCCCCATTGAAGTGCAGCTCCCTTCAATTTAAGCTTTACAAAAATCACCTTCCTATTTTCTGCCATGTGTTTCAATTGAAAATAATTCGCCAAACTAACTTCCCAATCTAAATAATCTTCTGCATACATCTTTCCATGGAAATCAATAACTTCTATTTTAACTCCACCACTGTTCAAATCAAGGGCAAGTATCAACTGCTCTTCTAATCCACCTCTTAGTGCTTGATTTGCGGTTCTAGTTTCATGAAAAGGGTTATCATCCCCTCATCTATGGTCTCATCCTTTAGACTACCCTTTGGTGTGTCTACCAGGTCACCCTCTGGCATCTCCATACAGGCTTCCATGGGTTCCTGTCGCTGTAAAGCTTGCACAGCTCATAACAAGTTATTAATCATATGTCGCATCTCAGTTAATTCTGCTTGTTGGCCTTTATTTCCTCTGCCATGAGCAGCCATAGCTCTGATACCAATTTGATGCAGGAAAGATACGGGTAAACAAACAGAAACTAAGAAGTTCGTAAAATTAAAGATGGAACCAAGAAAACTTAGGGTTTCAACCTCAAGTTTATTCTCAAAATAAAATCTAATAACAAAAATTGATTTAGATATCTGAGAATAACTATAGCCAAGAATTCTAATTCAATTCTAATTTGAACTTCTAATAACCTGCTAATTCTAGTCCTAATTAAAAGTAACATGCTATCCACATGACTTTTTTTAAATTAAAACTTAGACTCCAAATAGAACTCTAAACTTAATGCAATACAAACAGCCCTAAAATTAGTAATTAAAAAAAAGGATTTTTATGCGATACTGTCGATGCTTGTTGTCTACATTTTGTCTATGGGATGTTGGATAGGTATATATAATGTTAAGGTTGGGGCATAGTTTTCTTGGTTGATTATTATGTGGTCACTTTGGAATGTTAAAAATGAGATGATCTTCCATAATAATCAATGAGAGAAAAGCAGAATTTTTGAATTCTTTTTATCAGCAAAAATAAAATTTATTCAATGTGAGTACAAGGGTTATTCAACCCGAACACAACAAAAATCACAACAATCAACTGACTAAAAAACTTAACCACACATTCCCTCAAAATAGACTCAAAACACAAAGTCTCACAACAGCTTCTAAAAAAACCCACCTAGTACAAGAAAGGGTTCAAAACACACATGCTCACAGCTGCTAATGGACACAAAACTTAACACATCAAAAGTTCATAACAAACAAGCTTGATACAAAAATGTCCCACAAGCCAAGCAAACACTTTGATCAATCCTTCACGCTTTTTTAAATTCACCTATAGACAACACCTTAAGCCAGGAAAGATAGCCTGGCAACAACAAGCAATTCTTCACTCCACCATCAAAACATAAAAGGCCCTCATTACTTGCACCAAGCAGCCCCATCTGCATCATCTCTCTCCATTAATTCCACTAAAAGTGGCACAATTTGCTCAGAATCAGCTTGATTCCCATCCACATCAGATTTCAATTTCAAATTTGAATCAATTAAGTCATTTAAAGAGTCCACAGCCCGTGCATCAGCCTTGATATGGCCATTTACTGCAGCTGAATTCTCGGGCAGTGCCTCATCCACGTCTTTCAAAGTTCCATCTTCTTCTTGAAACTGTTCATTCCATTGCCGGAGAAAATGATCTTGGGTAGTGCCTCATCAGCATCTTTCAAACTTCCATATTCTCATCGAAAACTGTTCATCTTATTGCTGGAGAAAATGATGTTATCATTGGGAAATTTAAATTCTGATGACAACACTAGCTCTTCCTTGTTGCTGCTATAATAAACCCAACAATTTGAATCAGCTTTCAAATTTTCTTCAACAATCTTAATAAAAAAGGGAATATCATCCACTTGAAGCATGAAGGAATTTGAGATAGTATATTTCAATCTTGTAAGGACCAGCACTATACGATAAAGGAGATTGTTTCTATTTCTTGTTGATTCATACAGAAAAATAAATTCTTCAAATTCTTCTCCAATCATCTTAAAACATTGTTCAGACCACACGTGGAGAGGTACCTTGACAACTTGAAGCCAAACAAACTTTTGACTAGCTCCAGCACCATCCAATGGAGACCATCGCTTGAAACGATCAAACCAAGCTTTCCACCAGTTAATTTTTCCTTCAATCAATTTTTCTAGCAAATCCTTATCTCTGACTTCCAACAAAACTAGATTTCCACCCAAAGGATACACTGACATTATGACTCCTTCTGCTGCTAAATTATCTTAAAGGGTGAAAATTGCCTCTCTTAATTTCACTGAGGTTACTAGACAACACTCAACCACTTTGATTCTTCAGCATTATAACTGAATTTCAACACTTTACCACATCCCACAATTTTTGTGAGATTTCTGGTTCCTGTATCTTTGAGAGTACCTGCCTTGCTCTTCACTGCCTGGATAGGGAACAGGTTCTCAAGAGGGGTCTCATTCCATCTCTTTTCCTCAGTAAGAAAACATCTGTAAGTTTTCCATAGATCACAAGTTTTTCCCACAGATCCTTCACACCCCAATCCTCCAGAAAATTGGTGAAGTAGAATGAGGTAACCTGTTTCATGACATCGCAATCTGCTCATCTTTCATCCACACTGGAGTTGTGCTCAATGACCGGCCCCTAGCTCACAGTTTTGACAATGGCTCTGTCTTTACAGAGATAGGGTTCTCATGATAGGAAGGAAAGCTCTCACTTAAAGGGGAAAAATGTTTGGGGTCAAGGGTGTTCACCGGACAAAGAATGTCATTGGTGGCTGGTTGGGTTGGAGAGAACGAAGAAGAAGGGTCATTCATCTGTCTGTGAACATTTAATTCTTTGGAGAAAAGATAGTGTTGGAGTTGAGTCCTTGAATTTATGAATTAATTCAGGTCATCAAGTAGTTTGTATGGTTAAAGAGGATGCTGGGAAGTGTTGCATGGGTATGTTTTCCATTAGTGATTGTGTTCAGTTTCTGCCCTTGTGTGTAGACGAGATTAGAAGGTTATTAGAATAACAGATGATGGGTGTTCGAGGCCAAGCAGCTTGCTCTGAAGTTTTGCAGGATAGTTAGCAGAGTTCCGTTTTCTGTTTGGAAGGTTAATTTTGCATATTGTCAAGTACAAGTTATTTAGTTGAATTTAATGATAATTTTTCTTTGTAATTAAAGATTTCATATATGATTGATAAGTACTTGAATAATATATTTTTAGTGTACATTAAAAATCTTTATTTATTCTGTTTTAATTGTTAATTTAGTTGAATTTAGTGATAGTTTTTCTTTGTAATTAAAGCTCTCTGTTTAAATTATATATTTGTAGAGTGCATTCATTAGTCTTCAGAAATGGGAAGAACTGTTTGTGAAATTTTGTGAGAATGAGAGAAAATTACTGAGAAGTTCAAAGCCTTTTGTTTAAAGGTGTGATGATCTTTCTCATGAGTTTCTTATCCAAAACTTTTCTTTATGCCTGGTAACTCTATATATAAAAAATGCTGTTGACAAGGTTGAACAATACATTATTACTTACCTTTCCCCTGATCTATTATTTAACTAATCTTTGTTTTGATATAGGATATGGAAGAGGAAGAAAGAAAATTCAATGAAGAATTCAGCAACTTTTTTGAAATATGGGACTGGCAGGTACTTCCTTCCAACCATCTTTTCTTTTTGGTAGTATTTAATACATTAATTACTCTACATAATTCATTCATTCTTATTTTCTTACCTTAGAGTGAAAATCCTCATTCCAGCATATTTTCTTGCCATTGTCAACAGAACCATACAAGAGAGAGTCTGATTTGTCCCCTTGAAGAATGCCAGGTAAGACAGTCTAAAAAAGATGTAGCAGATTAAAATTAACAGATAAAACTAAGCAACTAAGCATTAGTGGAGAGGAAAACCAAATATTCCAACATCAATTTCCCATAAAATGGCAGGACCTTGATAATTACCTGAGCTACAACTCTATGACCCCTGTAATCTATTATGGCCATAGCAAGATTATATAATCCAGGGACATCAGCTTCCTGGTAGGCTTTGGTACCTTTCAAATCATTATTTGCAGAGGCATATGTAGCCTGCTCATTCTCAGCCAATGGTGTCTCAGAGGAGCCCGGAGATGATTCTATTAAACCATCACCGTCTACCACATTCAATCCACAAAAATTCTCCCCGTTTGGAACTGCACCATCTCCATGCGGTATATCATTAGATAGTTTATCAGATAAACTAAGTGTAGCATTTCTGCTCTGAATGTTTGAATTACTATCTGACGCTTGCTTTCTGGATACTTGTTCAAGGTCAGACTCCACAGCAAAGCTGAAGAAAATGTTATTGTGAACATACCTAAAATCAAAAATAAAATATAAAAAGCTGTTAATCCAACAATAGGGACAAATAATAACTCATAAAGGAACAATATGACAAGATAAATAATAATAATAATAATAATAATAAAAGTGATAAAAATACAATAGGATATGTGTACGAGGTCATCCCAAACTACATAATGAAGCATGCCAATAGATTGAAAAATCATTGCTTAGTAATAGTATGTCACAGATCTAAGAACAAAAACCTTTGTCGAGTGATGAAAGGATTTGGGTTAACATGGGAATTAACAAATAAGTGTTCACTATTAATAACAACTGACATTGGAAAGGGATACGTGAAATATTTTACTTTGTTTGCAAAGCATCCTAAACAAATCCACAAATAAAAATAAAATAATCGAGTAAATCAGTACATATACCTCATTTTATCATTTGATGATGTTGTAATTAGTCTATACCATGGAATTATTGTTTTAACTTATTTTTTATTTTAATTTATTAACTTGCAGGACCTGTTTGTAACTTCAGATGAGGTATATATAGATTTTATGTTGCATTTATACTTTTGACATTTCTAATTATAGAACTACTAGTTTTTTTAACATTTTCTTAACCTGCAGAACCTTGAAGTTAAAATGATTCAAACAGGGGGACTAGAGGCTGTCACTGCCGTGAATTCAAGTAGCTTTGTAGGTATAGTTAATTCAAGTAGCTCTGGGGAAGTGGGGATTTTACAATTGTCGCTACAGCAACTTGAACATTGGCATGGGCCAAGGATTTTGGTGCACTTTGCCAGCCCACCTGGGGCTGCAAGTGCACTTTGCTGCCTTAATTTTTGAGGGCTAACTCTTTTATTTTGAACGTGACAGCAATTGGAACGCCATTTGAGCGAGTGGAGGAGTTAAAGAGAAAAAGAGAGGAAGAATTGGATGAAGCCCGTTGGGGCAAAAGGCCTGCAACTGCATACATTACTCCAAGTTGTCCCCCAATTGGTGGGTTTATGGCTGAGGCTCGCCAGAATTACCATCAGTCAGCAGCTGCACCGGCTAATCAAGGACCTACGTTCTTAACCAATGAAGGTACACAAATAGAAACAAGGGAAGCTGCTCATGACAAGGAGGCCTCAACCTCATCACGGGCACCCCTGCAGGTGGAGCTGAGGAAGTTCATATAATAGATTATGGCTTCAAGTGATAACTGAGCAATGTATAGTTATTAGTCAATTTTAATACATGCTAAAAACAATCTACTGAATTTAGAAGAGTAATAGAAATGCTCATGACAGAAACTGCTCCCAAAATAAATAAAATAAAAAGGGAGCTCTAGTGACTAGGTGATGGGCCCTTGAGCTTACAGCTGAGTTTTCACCTTCCCTCCTACTCTGCTGGCCTAGGGCTGCAGCAAACTTTTTCTCTAGAAACTGCTCTATGTTTTGTTATGGCTGCAGTTTTCTTGTATGTTATTTGAGTACTTTCTATAGGTTCTACCGTTTAGGATCTGTTTATTTGTGTTGTAATAATGGATGAGTTTATTTCTCTATAATGTAAGAGTTTATTTGTGGGGAAAAAAATTATTTCGTATAAATGATTGAATCTTTATTGTTTTGAATGATCGATGTTTACTTGAATTATATTCTTTTAAAATCCTCATATATTCTGTTTCAATCGTAAATGCAGTTTCAACTCTAGGAATACAAGGCTCTTTGTGAGGAGCCTGGAATCACTGCCATGTTCAAAGCCTTCAGGAAGAGGAAGAACAAGAGTTCCAAGGAAGAATTAAAGAAGTTTGGAGAAGTTTTGATGGTGTGATTTTCTGTGCCCTGCTTCCAAGTTACAGCCATGCACCTTTTCTTTTTGGCTTTTAATATAATATACTATTTCATCACAGCCATACGTACCCACAAATGGGCCCGGATTCCACCCCTATTCCACACCTTATGTGCACGTTTTCAAAAGTTTAGAAGGATGGAACATGCGAATTATTGGACATTGATACTTTTCTCTAACTTGTGGGACCTTGAACTGTCGACAGGAAATTTAGCAGGTATGGATATATTTTGCTGCATTATTATAGTATTTTTACATTCTTCTAATTATGCAATGTTATTGTTTTAACTTTTTCTTTAACCTGCAGGATCCTCAAATGTTTCCTCCAATTGTGAGGTAGAATTGCAGTCCAGCACTACATGTATTACGCCATTGACTGTGAGTGCCATGAATTCTACTGCAACTAGTGGAGGTAGTGAGTTATTTCAGTACTGAGTTTGCTGTGTCTTAATTTTTTTTTTTTTTTTTGTTTTTGTTTATATCTGGAGTTAGTAACTTAGTATTATATGATCTTATTGTCTCTCTTATAAAGTCTCATTATGACCGTCTTGCCATGCAAGGAGCTACTGCTGCTGGTATCCCACCACCCAGTCCTCACCAACATAATCCACGGCTATGATAAGTCAGCATAAACATAAAACCTGCATCATCCATGTGACATGCCCTGAAAGAAACTAGGTAGAAGTGGGATCAAGGTAAAGTTAAAACTTTTCATTGTGTGGTGAGGATTGGGTGGTGGGACCACCAGAGGATCCAGCAACAGCAGTAGTTCCTCCTTGCATGTCAAGACGGTCATGATGAGGCTCTGTAGGAGAGACAAGATCATATAATACCAAGTTACTAAAAGAAATTAAGACACAGCAAACTCAATACTAAAATAACTCACTACCTCCACCAGTTGTAGTAGAATTCATGGCACCCGCAGTCAATGGCGTAGTACATATAGTGCTGGACTGCAATTCTACCGTATCATGCACAGCATAGTTAATAATATTATTTAAGAGTGTTTTTTAAAGGTCTACCTTTACCTTGATCCCACTTTTATGTATTTTCTTATGGGACTTGCATGTCACATGGATGATGCACATTTTATGTTCATGGCAGTTTATCATAGCTTTGGATTAATTATGTTGGTGCAGCTATTATTTAGAACGATATGAACTTAATTACATGAACACTAATTAGGTGGTTGTATTGAATGGGATATTTGAACTTGATGTTAATCATATAAACTACACAGGGTACACACCACGCGATGCACAGGTAGTCAATAATGTTTTTTTAGAGTATTGTTACTACAAATCCATCCTAATGTAATACAATCTGGAAATTTGTACTCATTCTCCTAAAAACCCACAAGCACAAAAAGAAGCTCCCCAGCACATTCTAATTAAAAGTTCTGACAAAAAGGAGTCACAAAAGACACTCAGACTTCTCAAGTAATTCACAAAACACCTTCTCTTCATCATCCATTCTCAAAACCACTAAATTTCCCTTCATCCTCAGAAAGTAGAATGTCGGATTATTGTGATTAGTCAATTTGAATTCCCAGCGGTAGTATACTGCAAAGAAACTATGCCATCTCGTCCATTACCCATCGCCAGACTGGGAGGAAACTTTTTTTTTTTTTTTTAAATTATAGGAAAAGAGTTGTATAGTTTGATACAATTTAAAAATAAAATAAAGAGTCAATTTGTTATGGTAAATTGTAATGTTTATTGGATTTTGTGCTCAAAAACAACTTTTCCTTACCCAACTAAAAATATGTGCAACTTCTCTTGAAAAATATTTCTTGAGAAATAGGAACCCAATCGCAGCCTAACAATTGAATAACCAACTCCATATCCCGAAAGGCGATAATTATCAGTTGATTAACTGGTTATCATGACAATGAGTGCTCTTCTCTACGCCCTATAATTATAAATCATTGTAAAAAATAACCACTATTACTTAAATTAAAAATGTCCTTAGAGGAAGAGAGAGGAAGAACTGGATGGGGCCTGTAGGGGCAAAAGGCCTGCAACTACTTACAGTACTACTCCAAGTAGTGGGTTTATGGCTGAGGCTCGCCAGAAGGACCATCAGCTAGCCGCTGCACAGGCTACTCAAGGACCTCTGTTGTCAACCAACAAAGGTACACAAATACAAATGAGGGAGGCTATTTATGATAAGGAGGCCTCCACCTCATCATGAGCTTGGACTAGGGAGCAAGCAAGAAGTTAAGCGTGTACAATCTTATGAAGGTATGTAGTCAGTAAACTGAGGCCCCTCTTCTCTTGGATCTCTACTCTTTCCAACTTCTCTTTTACATTGAATTATTTCTTTTCTCTTTAATTGATTATTTTCCAACTTCATTAGCAATATGTGAAGCTCAAAGATGCTAAAAGAAGACAGCAGGAAGCTGCAGCTGCTTCTATTGATGCTAACAGCAAATTCAAGGAAAAGAAGAAGGAAGCTGACAACTTGAACAAACAACTGAAGGGGCTGGAGGAGGGGTATAGCAAGCTCAGGGCTGAACTGGCAGACAAGAATAAGATTTCCAAGAATGCACTTGAGTTACAGATGATCGATGCTGTGACCCTTGGTTGGAATTTGATGGAGGAGCAGCTGCAGTCCATGGATATTGGTTCAGAATTTCTAAACTTGTCTCTGTTGGACACTATTCAGCTCTATCCTTCTCTCCAAAACCAGTTCAATGAAGGTCTGACTTTGATAGGTCAGGGACATCCTATCGATGACAAAGTAGCCATTCAATCTGATGATCCACCAATGGTTGTGCAGTGCTCCTTTTTTTGGCACTACAACTTGTTGGATAATGGTATGGCATATAAGCACAACATTTTTGCTCATCTAGGAGATGCTGCCAACATAGCTGCCAATAGTCCTCAATTTCAGGCTGTAAACACCAGAGCTAATAATGTGGAACAGAAGGATGATGCAAATGATGATCAGGAGGATGGATGAAGCTACTGAGGCTGATAACTTGCAATGAACATGGCAACATTGTCCGGATGGTGGTGAGGATCGTTGAATTTATCCATTTTGTATATATGATCATTAGTTTGCTGATGCAAGATGCCTGCGTGCTTCCTGGGAACAATTTCATTGCCCCTGCGTAGGCCAATAATTTGATACAGTTGATATATTTTCCTTCTGTCTATCAATCCGATACTGAATGTTGGATTTTCGGTGCTGATGGTAGCATCTTTTTATTTGATATATGACCTGTTGATGCTTGCTTTGCTTTTATTCTTTTTTTTTTTTTTTCTTAAATAGGAATGGAATGAGAACACTATTAGGAATTGAGTAAATTTTTAAATTTACTTAACAAATTCATAAATCAAGGCTAGGACTAGATCTAGATATCCCAAAGCAGTCATTTAAAAAATTTATTTTCTCAACATTATTAAGTGTAATGTTTGATTTGAGTACAAAGATTCTCTTGTTTAATTATTAAAAAATGAGAGAAGTGGAGGAAATGGAAGTTCTTTATTTTATGTTTTACTTTTATTTTTTTTTTATTCTTTTAACTTATTTAAATGAGGGAAGGAAAATAAAAAGATATATTTTTTATTTTTTAAATTAAATATATTTTAATTAAATGTCCCTAAGCCCAAGCCTGGGCATTTCATCTAGGTTATTAGGGTTGGTGCTAGAGCGACGTTTAGACATGACCTGGTAAAAATTTCTTTTATATATTAATTAAAAATTTTTTATTTCATTTTTTTGCTCTCATGGAGTATACTTCAAATTTTGCAAAATTTATAAAATTTT